ATCGTAAATTTGGGTTTCTGCAACAATCACAAGTATGTATAGATTTGTGTGCAGCGCCAGGAGGTTGGATGCAAGTCGCCAAACAAAACATGCCTGTATCGAGTATTGTCGTCGGTGTCGATTTGTATCCCATTCGTCCAATACCAGGATGTATAAGTCTTGTTGAGGACATTACTACCGAAAAATGTAAACAATCGTTGACCAAGGAGTTGCAGTCGTGGAAAGTTGATGTTGTACTGCACGACGGTGCTCCAAATGTGGGTCGTAATTGGTTATTTGATGCCTATCAACAAATATGCTTAACATTGAATGCGTTGAAACTTAGTACACACTTTTTACGTAGCGGTGGTTGGTTTGTTACAAAAGTGTTTCGTTCCAAGGATTATAACGCATTGTTATGGGTGTTGAAACAATTATTCAAAAAGGTGCATGCCACTAAACCGAGTGCTTCTCGTAAGGAATCCGCTGAGATATTCATAGTCTGTCAAGGTTATTTAGCGCCCACAAAAATAGATCCACGATTTTTAGATCCTAAATATGTTTTTGAGGAATTAGATATTGAGGGCAAGAAAAAGAATTTCTTGCTGCATCCTGAAAAGCAGAAACGCGTCAAGGCTGAAGGTTACACAGAAGCTGACATTGCGCTGCGTAACGAACTATCTGCTACGGAGTTTATGCAGTCAAGCAGTGGCTTAGGTGCGCTACAAAGTATAGGTTCAATAATCATCGACGATGAGCGTATTGCAAAACATCCAAAGACTACACCAGAAATTCTGGAATGTTGCAAGGATATTAAGGTACTTGGACGCAAGGATATTAAAGGATTGCTAGCATGGTGGAAAGCCTTAAAGGATGAATTGTTTAAGAAACCTGAGAAGGAGACCAGCGTTATAGAGGAGGAAGTTCCAAAGAAAACTCTCACACAAGAAGAAATTGAGGATATGGAGGAGGAAGAACTGCAACAACAAATAGCTGAACTTGCTGAAGACGAGCAACGCGAAGTCAAACGGAAACGGAAAAAAGAACTAAGAACAAAACAAAAATTACATGAAAAAATGAATCTAAATATGGTGATCAAGGGAGATGTGGGACCGCAAGAAGAGACTGAGCTGGAAATATTCGACTTAAAGAGTGTTAAATCCCAACGTGAACTAGACGAAATGTTGGATGTAGTGCCTGATTTTGATGTTGAAGGCGAAGCAGTCGAAGTACCGAAATTGCCAAAGTATAAAGCTTACGATAAAGATGATAAACGTCTGGATGATGATGCCAACTATGAAAACGACGATGAGCCCGATATATCCGCAGATGAAGATTCTGAAAGTGACTATGAAAAGGATGGCTTGGGTTTGAGCGAAGATGAAGATAAAACAGTCGAGTCACAAAAGAAAAAGAAACGCACCGAACATCCACTTATAAAGTCAGGAGACTTTAGAGATAAGGATACAAAACGTCAACAACGTGTGCAGTTATGGTTCGAAAAAGACAATCTGCAACAAATAGATTCGGAAGATGATGAGGATTACGATTTGGATCGGTTAGCAAACGAATATAAAAGTAAAGGTGTAGCAGTACTGGGGGAATCACAGCAAAATGCCGACTCGGCAAAATTACCTTTAGGCAAGAAAGCTAAAAGACGTGCAAGACATGATAACGCAAATGAGAAATCAAGTTCCGAATCCAGTGATAGCGACTCTGACGCCACAGTAGATGAGGAAGATGAAGATGGGGAGAAAAAAGTTGCTGGCAATATGGCAAAAGGTGAGAGAAACAAAAAATTATTTTATACTTCAACTCTTAAATTATGCAAATGGTAAATATATACTTTTTTTCGTTAGAGCCGAAAGCGAAGAAGATACGACTTTCCGAGGAAGAGCTTGCCCTTGGATCTATGATGATTAAGGGCAAGAAAACACGTCGTGATCTTATAGATGGCGCTTGGAATCGTTATGCCTTCAACGATGAAAATCTACCACATTGGTTCGTACAAGACGAAGATTTGCATATGCGAAAACCAGTGCCAGTGCCGAACGAAATCATTGAGGAGTATGAACGTAAAGTGCAAGAATTGAATGCACGCCCAATCAAGAAGGTAATGGAGGCTAAGGCGCGCAAGCGCAAACACGCAGTTAAGCGTTTAACTAAAGCAAAGAAACAAGCTGAAAAAATTATGGATGACAACGATGCGACGGCGCAAGAAAAGGCGAAACAGCTAAGAAAGATTTACAAGAAGGCGCAAGAGAAGAAAAAGGAAATTACTTATGTTGTAGCGAAAAAACATCAAGCCGCGAAACGTGCGCGACGTCCCGCAGGCTTGAAGGGACGTTACCGTGTGGTCGATCCGCGAGAGAAGAAGGACAAACGAGCATTGAGTGCAAAATCTAAGCGTGAGAAGAAACGCAAGGGTAAAAAATAAGGAAACTATATTAGTAAGCACTAAATAATTGCAAATTTTTACATATTGCTATGTACAGAATTACATAATAATAGTGATAGTTAATAATTGATTAAATGTATTTAGAAATTCACAAAGGCGCTTTTAATTGTATACAGGTTTCCAATTGGGTAGCATCCCAGAGTTCCTTTGCCTTCCGCCACTATTGTAACTTATTTTTTAAAAGAAAAGGCTGCCAATCTCCTCTTAAGGTCAATCTATAAGTTCTTAATCGGGTTGAGATGAGGGGATTGACTAGGTCATTGCATACCGGTCATATTTGCAAAATGTCTGTGTACTCAATGGCGGTCATTGTGTCCTTTATCCAAAATAACGGACAAACGCTTTGCCAGGAAAAACATCCCCACACCATTATGTTTCCGTCTCCCCGTGCTCAATTGTCTTTTTGGGGTATCTACAATCAAATTCTTTGCCTTTGAGGTGACGGACAATTCTTTTATAATCATTTCCATAAAAATTAATCTTAACTTCGTCACTGAATAAAATATTTCGCCATTTTTTTTCTCCAGTGGGACCGCATCAATTTTTATGTTCAGCGGCAAAAGCTTTTCTCTTCTGTATGTGGACCTTACTTAGAAGAGGAATTTTTTTGGCTTTACGCCCCGGTAGATTACCGTTCAATAATCGAGGCCGAATTGTCCGCGCGTTAACATTTAGTCCAACTTCCACTGCAATTTGCCGTGAAGTCACAAAAGGTTCTTTTTTGTCATGAGAAATATACGGTGATCATCAATCAGGCCAGTTTTTCTTGCACGACCACGAGTTTCCTTTTCGACCTCCCCGACGTATTTTCGATGAATTTATATGTATTTTCTTCATCACGCAAGTTTTTTTACTAATCGACGGTCTACATCAGTACAGTGGCTTTTACGACCCAAACTAAATAATTTCTTCTTTTTGATTATGGTGTTCAAAGGAATATAAAATTAAAAAAAACTCCAATACCTACTTTAATATGAAAAATACTTCGAAGTAACACATATTTTTATACTCTCGCAACCTGTTGCTACAGAGTATAATAGTTTTGTTCATCTAACGGTTGTTTGTATCACCTAAAATTAATCGAGTTAGATATAGGGTTATATATATATAAATGATCAGGATGAAGAGACGAGTTGAAATCCGGGTGACTGTCTGTCCGTCCGTCCGTCTGTCCGTCCGTCCGTGCAAGCTCTAACTTGAGTAAAAATTGAGATATCTTAATGAAACTTGGTAGACATGTTTCATGGTACCGTGAGACGGTTGGTATTGCAGATGGGCGTAATCGGACCACTGCCACGCCCACAAAACGCCATTAATCAAAAACAAATAACTTGCCATAACTAAGCTCCGCAATAAGATACAAGACTGTTATTTGGTACACAGGATCACATTAGGGAGGGGCATCTGCAGTTAAAATTTTTTTTTAAAAAGTGGGCGTGGTCCCGCCTCTAATAGGTTTAATGTGCATATCTGCTAAACCGCTAATGCTATAATAACAAAATTCACTGGAAGCAAATGTTTTTAGCACTTCTATTGACAGTGTGAAAATAGTTGAAATCGGGTGGCAACTCCGCCCACTCCCCATATAACGGTACTGTTAAAAACTACTAAAAGCGCGATAAATCAAGCACTAAACACGCCAGAGACATTAAATTTTATCTCTGAGATGGTATAAGATGACTTTATAGGAACCGCGTTCAAAATTAGACAGTGGGCGTGGCACAGCCCACTTTTAGGTGAAAACCCATATCTTGAGATCTGCTTAACCGATTTCAACCAAATTCGGTGCGTAACGTTCTTTTCATGTTTCTATGTCATAGTGCGAAAATGGGCGAAATCGGATTACAACCACGCCTATTTTCCATATGACACCATTTTAAATACCACTTGATTCTTTCACTTTCCACTATGCAAATCAAGCAACAATGATTATATCGGCGTAAAACTTTGCGTGAATAATACGTTTAAAGTATGCCACCTTGTGACCAAAAATTTTCTAAATCGAACCAAAACTGTTCAAGCCCCTAAGTACTAAATATGTGGACCCCAGTGCCTATAGTTGACCTTCTACCGAAAATATCAGTCAATCCACAAAGAAATCTCAAACGAGTATACCATTTGACTTTGCGAGAGTATAAAATGTTCGGTTACATCCGAACTTAGCCCTTCCTTACTTGTTTTTATTTTAATATTAGTTTCACCTATTTTAATGGCCAACCAAATTTAATGAAGCAATGATAACTTGTCACTCAAACGCAAAATTAACAAAATAGTAATGCAAGTTGTTGATACTTACGCACTACTCTCTCGCCTTCATCCTAAAAATGTAACCGTATCAAAAAAAAGTAACAATTACAACACCATTTAGCAAAAAACAGTACCAGCTAAACGCACACCTATTATTTTGTCCATAAGTGTATGTATTGTATAATATTATATATATAAATGAACATCGTGACGAGATAAAGATCTTTTTATACGCTTTTGTGCCAGAAGAAATGCACAAGAATTGAAAAGAATTTTAGTTTCAATGCAAATGAAAGTAAATGTTTTTTTTTTTTAATTCAAAAACAATAATCGTATTTATTCAGTACTCTTGTTTACAATAGAAAAGTAAAGCTTTTCTACACACATAACTAACTTAAATATATAAACAAAACACTTTGAACGCACTACAATAGAAAAATGAAAGTAAACTTTTAACTTTAGAAATTGAAATATGTTTTGTTGTACATGTTTTTTATATAAGAACGTTTTAACTAGTTAGAATTGTTCATATACATGCTTATCGCTAGATATTTTATTTAAGAAAATATCCACATTCCAACATTCAAAATTACAGTATGCATAGAAAATTGCATAAATAAGGCACCAAAACCTTTGTAAAGCCCTGTGTAACCTTCCATACTTACAATGGTATTATAACAATCTCCGATCCCTTGATAATACGTTAATTGCTTTTGCATACTCTTACCATTATCGAGATTATCAATAATAGTGTCCGTACCCTGTAGTAGAAGGCGGTGCAGAATGGTTTCCAACGGATAAAATGCAACCTCGGTAATAATGCGTGCAATCAGATCAGATTTAATTTCCATTTTTTGGTTCTCCAACTCCCATGTTGCACACAATCTGTTCTTACGCAAAATAGCTAAAGTAGAGACTTTTACAAGCGCTCTAGGGGTACAGAAAAGTAAGTAATTATGTTTTGTAGAAGGTGTGCCATTTATGGTATTTCTATAGTAAGCTATTCAAATAGCGCCTTTGTAATAATTACCTAAATTCATATTTAGCAATTTCCATACACATGTAAGGAAAAAATAGTGATTTTAACGATATCTGTTGTTTGCAGCTATTCGAACTGAGATGGGGTACCAGTATACTTCCTACAGTGCTCATTAAACAACTTCTTTTTAGTACAAGTGTAGCAGCTTCGATACTATAAGCGAAAATAATTCAATTTCTAGTACAAACAAATTTGAATATTTAACAAGAAAAAACGTTAACTTCGGTTGCACCGAAGCTATAATACCCTTCACAGATACAAAGGTTCCTTACAGTACGTGATTCAAATCTAATTTCGTGAATCGGCAATAAAAAATAAATTATTTTACCATGCAGGCACTTTACTCCGATCGTTCAATTTATATAATAAATATTCAAATTATCCGATCGTTCAGTTAATATGGCAGCTATATGTTATAGTCATCCGATCTGTTCAAGTTTTTCGAAGATTACGTTGTTGCCTCAAAGAATAACTCATGCCTAATTTCGTGAAGATACCGCGTCAAATGAAAGAGTATGGCAGATATATGCTATAGTCATCCGATCAAAACAATTTCTTCGGGAATTACATTGTTACCTTAGAAAATAATTCATGCCAAATTTCGTGAGGATATTACGTCAAATAAAAAAGTTTCCCATACCAGGACTTGCTTCCTATTGTTCAGTTTGTATGGCAGCTATATGCTATAGTGGTCCGATATCGGCCGTTCCGACAAATGAGCAGCTTCTTAGTGAGAAAAGGACAGGTACAAAATTTCATCACCATCGATAGCTTAAAAACTGAGGGACTAGTTTGAATTTATACAGACAGACGGACGGACGGACGGACAGACGGACATGGCTAAATCAACTCAGCTCATCATACTGATCATTTATATATATATTTTATAGGGTCTCCGACGTTTCCTTCTGGGTGTTACAAACTTAATATACCCTGTTCAGGGTATAAAGAGTATTAAATATTGCAGGATATTGTAATATTTTCAAAACTTGTAATAAAAATAAATTACGGAAATTATGATGAGTTTCGCACATTTGTATACCTTCGCAGCATGCTGCAAAGTATATAATAGTTTTGTTCACCTAATCGTTCTTTGCAAAACCTAAAACTAATCGAGTTAGTTATAGCAAAGGAATCAGCATGATACGAATTTGAAGTTTGAATGTGCCCGAATGTCTTACTTTTAAGCCATTTTATACAGCCCGTCGTTTTGACGTCTATGTTGTAATTATTAAAGTAAAATTTTTTATCTACCGTCTCAAATTTTCTCGCCCAACCATCGCATGACGCATTACAACTCTCTATATTTACATATGTACATATATGACTACCACTCGCATAATATTAGATTTGAAAGAAATAGTGTCTTTAAGCCAAAAGTACGACAGAACTTTGTGAAAAAATTCAAAGTGGTTTATGCTATTTGTCACCCAATTTGCGACCATCATCGGTGTTCTGCAGTACGAAAAAATAAATGCTACGCCACGAAATATGAGTTTTTTTTTGTTAATAGAGAATTTGAAAAAATCGTTTTGTGTTGTGTATGCCGGGTTGCAAATAATGCATTAAAAACAATTAATTGGTTAATTTTTTTTTTGTAATCCCGCAAATTTTAATTAAAATAAGTTTTAAATCAATTAATTTAATCCCAAATACCCGATTCAAAAAAAAAAATTTTTTTAAATCCCAAATAGCGGTATAAAAAAAATATTTTATACAAAATTAAAAAAAAAAAATATTATACAAAATTAAAAAAAAATATTTTATACAAAATTAAAAAAAAAATATTTTATACAAAATTAAAAAAAAAAATATTTTATACAAAATTA